CAGTTACTAAACAATAACAAATATCGTCTCCATTCTTCACTACAGCGCGCTAGAGTTGCCCAATGGGCTCTCTAGTTTTGAGTTACATGAACAACATCATACCGTTCGTTCACAGCCTTCACGTAGAAGTCTGATCATCACGTAGGCGGTAAATCTGGTGTCCGTTTGACAACAAGTGGAATCCAGTCGGTGACCGCACTGGTCCAGCGGTCAACTTCAGAACGCTTAGCGTGTCCTGCCCACGTCGTCTTCAAAACCTTGGCAAAAGCGGTTCCGCCCCTGACCCTGTATCGTTGACGAGTGTAGAGCTTCAGATTCTCTGGTGCACTAGTGTTTAGCGGGGATCTCCATGCATCGCTCTTTCGCTGGATGGCGTTGATCGCTATCATCCTGCTTTCGTAGAGACCAGGTCTCTGAAGCTCAAGTTAGGGCATCAGAATGACGGACTGAGGCTTCGATAGAACCCTCTCCCGCAGAGCCATAGGCAGAAATGGCGCGCATGTTCGGCTCATGGTGTACTGGTGACGGTCAACAATATGTTCTAGAAATTGAAAGAGCACGAAGGGAATATGCAGGGCAAAAAAAACTTCTGATAGAAGGTACTTTTATGAATGATGGAGGAACTGCATGAATAAAGTGCAAATGATTCATGGATGTTTTTTAATTGGTGTAAGCGACATACCAGAAAGTGTAAAGAAAGAGCATAGCAGCTTTGTAGTTCATCCTCTGTTTGTAAGAGTTTTTGAGCAGAGCAGAAAAAGTACTAGGATTCCCAGCTGAAAGCGACTTGCAACTAACAAAGCCTCAAGACAAAGATCACATTGCGTGCCTTTTGTAGGCAAGTTGGAAACCATTACTCATGCATGTGTCCACAAGCCGTTAACGGAGACAAAAGATCAGTTTATATAAAGTTATGCTTTAGTGTGTAAATACTGCCCAGGCGGAAGTCCATCCTGATAACCTTTAGCCCACAAAACGATGGTACATTGCACATTGCTCCCATCGATGTGTCGACCCATCCGGATAGCCTTTTCTTGAGCTGACACTTGGTGACTAGACGAGCTTGCTCCAGTTTCACGAGAGTTCACACGAGTGAAACTTGTAAACCGGAATTTCTGAATCAATGAAAGTGCGAAATGCCCCCCCCCCATCGCCGAACTGCGTCAAAATGAATCACTTCGAGCATGCACGGTCGTCCAATTGTGGGCAGGCAGGCATGCGGTGCCAACTGCCTCTAATCGAGACCACGGTGACCATCGTAGACTGCCGTGCAGCACGATAGACTGAGGTGAACATTATTGTTGGGCGGCAGGAGGTGACATCAGCTGGCAAGGGCTGACAAGGGGCCTTATAAATGAAGGGTTATCAGAGTCATTGCTCGCGTCACAGCCAAGGACTGCGCGCAGAAGGCGCGACAGCCGAACTGGTTCGCCTCAAACTGCTACTCGATGGTGCAGTCGCTCCTAACTCTCTCTCCATTTTGAATGGTGAAGTGGTAAGGAAACAGAGCTTGCTTCAATAGTGACAACTCGTCCCACTACGCTCTTTCTCCGGCTTGTGCACGGACTAGCATGGTTCAGCATGGGGTTCTTCAGGGGCAATGGAGTCGGATCTTCATGCTTTTTTCCTTCACTTCTGCTACTTGCCAACTCAAGCCTCTCAACTCACCATTTTTGGAGCCGGGCGTGTTTCTAATATGTCCACAATTATTTGCAGCTAAGTTGGTGAGGATACGAGGAAGGAAGGAAGACAGAAGCGGTGGCCGTGTCCCACAAATCTTGCCACTTCTCTTCCCAGAGTGACAGACTAGGACCGCACATATTCCAGCTTTTTCCAAGGGTTGGGAGGCTGAGTAACCCCGGAGACCTCTCCCCTTGTGAAAGCCAATATGATTGCTTGCCAAATATTTCTTGCATATTCTGATGCCTTACTGCGGCGATCCCTCCCTGACTGTGGCAGATCTTATCACAGCGGGACTTGCCCAAAAGTTCAAGATGTCGACATGTCGACCGTTAAATACTGCCCCGCATCCTGAATCAAGCGACCCACGCTCATCCTGCTCAGAGTTATTGGCTGACGATCACATGTCTTTTGGCTGTGTTCAAGCTTTACGATAAGGCTCGTCGACGCGCTGTAAGGCGCATCGACGCGCTACAAACCCAGTAGCGCTCCTAAGCTCTGGACGAACGCAGCTCAGATAGCCGGCGCTAATCGGTTCCCGTCTGCCCACGCTGCCGCAGACGGGAACTGATCGGCCGGCACTCATGCTTGACTGAGATTTGATTGAGACTAGGATGGTAGGTTCTGCCTAGTCACGCTGTAATGCGCGTCATCGCGAAGTCTGAACGCTATCCCATGTGCACATTCGCTGTATCATATTCTGTTTGACCACGAATTCACACTTCAGCTGTGGTCAGCCCATCGCTGTGTCTTGTAGGCCTTGTTTACAGTCACTTTTTTACAGTCATTTTATAGTCCTTTTTACAGTTTTTACAGTTTGTTTCATAGTCCTTTTTACAGCGTTTGTTTGCGTAGTCTTTTTACGCCCCACTTTTGTTTCCGAACACGTAGTCATGGTCGTTCATAGCGGAACTTCCGCGTTCGTGTGAACACACATACGGTGAATAAGCTCTGCTAGATGGTTTCCTCTGACACAAGAACAATATATGATAACGACTCAAAAATTCATATATCTCATTCCTTTCAATGGATCTGGTAGGTTCGACTCGAAGAAAAGGAGCGAAAAACATATGAAAAGAAATATATTTCGTCTTCAACTCAAATAGATCCCTCTTCAACAGTGACCTGACCCCACTTCCTCGGGAGCGCTTGGATCACTGGCACATTTGTTCTTTAAAGGCAGCGTCCGCGTTCAGTTGAGATTTTCCTCTCCCTTCGTGAGCAGGTAGTCAGGTCCGCTGAGGCAACAACTACACCACTTTCGCGGCGCAAAAACGCGTGAGGAGAGCCACGATGCCGTCGTTCTTATCATTGACCCAACCTACAATCATTGGCACCGCCCACCATTCATTTCTAATGGTTACCTGATGGTGCGGTTGTTCCATTGCTGCTTCTCTCCACGTCGAGTGGTGAGAGTGAGGTGATAAGGGAAAACAGCTGATATCAACAAGTGAGAACTCGTGCGACCGCACCTTCTCTTCGCCTTGAGCACGTACAACCTCAATTAAGCAAGGGGTTCTATATAGAGCCTTTCCTATGATTTCTTTCTGATTTTTCTTCACTAAGGGGTTACTTGCTACCTTGTTATAAGTATTTGAGCCGCATAACTCATCAAATTTGAATGCGGGCTCAGCCTTTAAACACGTACGAGTAAAGTGCTGTTGATGCCGATTTCGGCGAATGCAAAAAGTCGTTGCGTTAGCGTTGGACAGTTCTTCGACCTGACCAGAATAGGTGGAATTGCACGACTGTAGGTCGGGCGAATAAGGCGACTGAATCTAACTCTCAATATTGTTTCTGTCCGAGCACTGGCCTGTTAAACAGTTACTCGGAGTTTAGCACTATGACGAACCTTCTGGTTCATCCATTTGTCATCTGATTTTTGAAGAACAAGCAATATACACCGGAAGCGACGATTTGGTTCTCTGTATAGAGTCGCTTGTAAGCCATAGTGCAGAAATCCTTCGCTATGATGATCATCCACTTGGGCCCACGTAACTCCTCATGGCAGAATTCTAGCGTCTTCTCACCTGCATTCATACAAAATTGACGCTCGTGAGTTCTTGCTCGCAGTTCAAGACCACCCATACTTTCGGGCCGGGATGCAACCTCACAGCCGTGAATGACGTCTAAGGCGATGTAGATCGCTGCTACAGGCATAGAATCGGTATCTTTAGTTCCGGACATAACTCTGGCAGCAGTTGCAGCAGGGATGTCTCGCAGGGAAGCTCGATAAGGGTCCAGGCTCTGTAATCAGACACTCGACGCTTGACTTCATCCACTCGCTTCTCTTGTGCTGTATGAGTACTATGGGGCTCGCCTCTACCACAACTTTTTTCTCTCGTGAGTTCTGAACCGAATCTTCCGCATTCCCTTCAGAGAACACCATTAGGTGCAACTACCGGTCTAGCCTAGGACAAAGTTGAGCAACCACGTTCCTCCTATGATGCCCGATCCATAGTCCTCTGTTGATTTCGACCACACTGAATTCCTTTCACCTTCTCTTGATTTTCTTCCGTGGCTAGGCTAGCGTCCAATGTTGCAGTCGCAAATAATAGCAATGAATCGCGTAGCAGAAGCCTTGTAGAGTGGACCCTTATGAAGCCTCAGATGCAAAAAGTAATATGTCATGCGATCCCAGAGCCCTTTGCTCGCTTATTCAAGAGGCAAACAAGTCTTACTCCCTGCAACGGCTGGTCTGGCTGCCGAATACGGAGGGGCACTCGTCTTATCAGATAACCCGGCAGTTCTCTTTAAAGGTGAATTGCATATACACCTACGAGAGTCCTAGTCATTGCAAAGTGTGAGGTAAACAGGTGTGCAATAGCGTGCCATTTTCTTCGGTCAAAGTGCACGGGGAAAAATTCAGGGGGTAGGGCCCCGTCTTCTTGTTCCCGCACGGCTAGCCACACGCTGAAGCGTACTCACGCGCTACATGTCTGCGCCTTCACACTTCTTAGTGCTATACCGCAACGTGCGTGCTTCGCAGGACCTTGATGTCAAAGCAGCTGCTGCACATTGAGAACTGCGCGGGCTTAGTATGGGCAGCACAGTCGAGCACTACTATTCTTGTGTTCCCTTCTCTCTGCTCCCCCTTGCTAGGAGCTGAGAGCTGAGTACACAGTTCAGTTTCAGAGGCGCTCCTTTCCTTTCCATCTTACATTAGAGGGGCACCCCTTGGGAAAGCAGTGCTTCCCTCCGGGTAGCATAGAAATTGCCTCCGCGAAATGAGAAGGATAGAATCCATATGAGTGGCTGCTTTAGTGAGCAGAACTGCTGTGCCTGACCTTTATATCTCTTTCGTTTCCTGTGTTAGAATGTTAGAAAGCTAGAAAGTTGGGAAAAGTTTATTTTTACAATGACATAGCTCGTGCTGAGATGTGGATGGGGTGCTCCGAAAGGACCTTGAGCACCCACCCACACTCAAAGCAGATTGAAAAAATAAATTTTCGCATATTATTACAGTTTCGACTTCAGGTTCGACTCCTTTGAAGAGTGACTTGAGCCTCGTAGCTTTTCCCATGACTCCTTTTATTTTTATCTTTCCCAACCTATATGCCTGAAATGAGATTTTACAGTAATTTTTCGCTGAATATGCAGATCACAAAGAGTTTACCAGATCTGGTAGCATCTTTCCAGTAACAATTTTTACAAAATCAATGTCCTTCACGTTAACCTCGACTTCATATGGTCGCTCATCGTGACCCACGTAAGCCGGTTTGCTCTGAAAACGATCGGGCTTGATTTTGTTGCCTCAAGAGGCTACTGTGCCAAAAGTTGAACGAGAGCGCTAAAAGCTGTGAAAAATGGCCACTTATACATTGATTTGTACCTTTGTGTCGATTATCCACGATTTCACAGCACCGTCATCAGCCTTGAGGTTAATTTTGTATGACGAATGCACTTTTTTAGCGAGGCCCTCGTCCTGAAACATCAGAATACTGGAACATCGGTCTTGCTGCAGCAATCGAGGAAGGCAGTACAAATTAGGTCGCTGAGGTCTGCTCAAGTAACCTGTTTCCCAGGGTCAGACTATTTCCCCGTGGCCGCTTCTAAGGATGTCAACGATTATGCACTGAATCACTGAGACCCGGTAGGCGGGGCCACATACATTCCATATCCCAGAGATGGAGAGTCCGTGGTTCCGCACTTTTACGTGGCGGCAGCTGCGCCTTTCGAGAGATATTGCTGTTTTAGAACAGTTGCAGCCATGACTTTGTTCAGTACAAGAAAGGACAACACTTGCTCATTGAAGTATTCCAACAACAACGCATCCTACGCTATGTCCAAGTAAGGTACGCAGCCACGCCCACTCCATCACTGGGATTTGCGAGTTCAGGGCGTTGTGCATTTGGTGGATGCCTTCATTCCAGGACCCATGTAGTCATGCTTTCATCCAACACCAGATGGCACTTGTCTCATATTGGACGCCGATTACCCTGAAAGGGAGTGGGGAGGCACATCATGTCAGGATACAAGCTCTGTCATGTAGATATGTGAAAAGAGAATCGTAATCTACCGCGCTGGTGGGCGGTCGCGTGTTGCGCCCGCAAATGACGACGGCCCCAATTAGGGCGACAACAGGCAATTCAGAACCGAAAATAGTCATGAATGTCTACGATGACGGGGTCTACATGAAGTCCGGTGCTCCAATCGACAGGTTAACACGAGTTAAGAAAACGCCGCGCCCATCGCCGCGCGCGGCGGAGCGGCAAATTACGATTCTCTTGCCCGTTTCTCCGTTGAGTAATTTTAATTGGTTACATGGGAAAACCGGACAATTGTGTCTCACCCGAAGTGGGAGTCTTCTAAACCCATGTCCAGCTTGGCGAAATGGTGCTACTGTCATTGGAACACAATGACTCGATTCAATAAGTAGAGTATTGTGACCAGTTTGACAAGTTACAAGAGTTCGCAAGGCATGGCAGGTAGTAACCAGGGGCTCACAGGGTGTTGACGAGTTTATCGGCTTTTCACATTCGTTCGCTAGTGAACACTGATAGACGCTGATCGATATCCATATTTTCCTAGTCCCTCGAGACGCTGATGGTCGCTGGCAGACGCTGGTGGACGCTTTTAGACGCTGCCGTTCGCTGGATCGATATCTATACTTTCCTAGTCGCTGACGCTGACGGACGCTCGAAACGCTGATGGTCGCTGGTGGACGCTGCCGCAAAGTATGAACGTAGCCTCACTG